CCAATCAACCCATGTCCCCTTGGGATTGGCCTTCTTGAACGGTTCCAAACGTTTGAGAATTTTATTGCAGGCGTCCTTAATTGATTAGTTTTCGTGGCCATTGCAGGGTTTGTTCATCAGGGAAAAAAAATTTCTGCAAAAGGAGATTTAAATAAATAAATAAGTTTAAAGGGCAAAAGTGGTGGATCCACAAAATTTGGGTAGGAAAGCCGGCGCAGTTCGGCATCGTGAGGGAGGGGGGAGGAGGGGAGGGGCTCACCCAGGAAAGCTTGCGATTAATGGTCGATGCAGTTACAGTTACTTTGCAGTTACACTACCGCTCATAGAGTTCTCATGAACTAGCAGAAAAGCAAAATTCTCCTCTCATGCTATGGAAAGCACTACGAACCTCTTTGAAACGCTCTGTTCGCCTATTGCATAGGTGGAGCGAAGAGCCGCTTATGTTTTAGATGGTACCTAGGAGCCTGATCCCCACCTGGCGCTGTTCGGCGATAGGGAGGGGCATTTTGTACTTTCGCAGCTTCAGTAGTTCCGGATTTACAAGTCTCACTCTGGTGAAACCTGTGAACTCTTGTGTAGCTGGAGCAAGCTCGTCCAGCCACCATGATAAAACCTGTCAACTCTCGTAAGGCTCTCTCGATGGCTCGACACGTCGATGGGAAGTGCAAAAAAGCAAAATGCCCCCCCCTCGCCGATCTGCGCCCCCCCCTCCACCCTCTAGGATTCAGTCATGCGGATTCATGCTGTGGTGGTGTAGGACATTCTTGAAACAAAACAGATGTCGGCTCAACGACAAAAACCTCAACAGTACCGTTTAAATAGGAGGTGCAGTCCCGTGTTCCTAATGTCAGCGCCTACAGGGATGCATGGTGTGGTTTTTCGCTTTGGAACAACTGCAAGCAACGTCGCCTTGTCTCAGCCCCCACACACCACCAATACCCACCGGATGACCACGTAGTCTCACACGTACACTGGCCTCGCAAAGCATCGTAGGCCATGCTCCAGTGTAAGTACACAGCTACGCCTTCCCCACTGCCGGGCTATGGAGTGTGCTTACTGCACCACACGCAGGTGTGTGGTAAGGAATCTAGGGAGATGCGTCGTACCCTAATGCGCACTCTTCACTACAGAAAGGCCACACTCTGAATAATTGCATAGTAGTGTAGTTAATTCTCGCGATTAAATTGTTTTTGTGGTTGCGTGCTCTCTCTCTCTTTCCCATCCGTTCCCTGGCCAGTCGTGTGCGCGCTCAATGTTTCGTTGTCTCTCGCCTCTCCACATTTTTGCTCAATGCTCAAAGGCGGCCAAACCAGAAAAACATTACTGGGCACTATTCACCCTTTACTGCCCCAACCATCCGGAATTGAGCCAGTTTTTGACCGACTTTTTTCTCCGTGGACAGATTTGGCTCAAATGTTGTCTCCTGGGTAGTTTGACCTGAATACGAATATCACATTCGCTTGGCCCGAAACTTCCTGGCGCCCGCGCCACAGGCAGCGGTGATCTGGGGTATTCTGGCGCCAGCGCCTGCAACGCGAGCGCCAGATGATTTCGGACCTAGGGATGTGATATTCTTGCTCAGAAGGTCAAACTGCTCTAGGGAACAAATATTCCCAGCAAGAGTTCCCAGTAGATTCATTGTCTTTTCATCCTTCTAATTCAGTTGAAATTGCAGATTTATATTAAAGATCCGCGACTTCCAGTCATATCATTGGTTCCGATTTTTCTGGGAAGCAGTGTGCATTCGACCTTCTAGAAATCCACTGGTACTACACAAGGATTTTATGACGACTTGCAAGAATGTAGTCGTCCTATTATAAGAGTGTCCGAGCAGAGTCGGACTTGATGCCACATTCATAACTGGTTACCTATGATCGGAAGGCTTTTCTTCTCACTTTTCGAAAGGCTTTACACGTCTTCACAGTCTTCTTCACCAATAATTTAAGGGTAATATGCCAAGAACTTGATAAGAGATAAGATGATTTACCTGGACGGCGAGACCATTCATGTCACTTCCGACTGATGCGGCCGTAGGCGAAGCATTAGGAACCTGTGCACATTAAATTGAATTGTGAATTGAAATTCTTTGGAGATCGAACGTTAGAAAACGTCTGAGGCAGTGGAAGAAGAAGAGGAATCAGTAAGCGTATGATCTTACCTTATCAGTCGCCGTTTCGTGAATATGCACCATCTCGATGGGGATGTCAAGAACTCGGGCGGCAATCTATAACACTTCACTCTCTAAAAAGTTATCAGAGCAGGTCCGCTGATTGTAGACCTAATATGACACAATACTAAATAACCTGCAAGATTTTCGTGTGCAATCCTTGACCCATTTCCATACCACCATGAGATACAAGCACGGAGCCGTCGGTGTAGACCAGAACGAGAGCCCCAGCCTGAAGTCATAATTAGGCTTTCAAATAAAACAGTATAGCAGAAAAGAAACAGTATTCAGAATAAATTCAGGATCCACCGATATAAGAATGAAAGCTCAAAAGACAAAGTTTCGAAAGACATAGGG